TTTGATGCAAGGAACAAGAGTACAATTATCTGACAAAAATAAAAACCCGCAAGAGGACATGTAGTACGTTTTCTAGTAATGTAGTGCAGAAACAAAACATCATGGATGTGTTTTCAGACAAATTCCCCCCCACTGTTAGTGATGGTATTACTATTTGACAGATTAATTATATTGCAGCAGACTGAAAGGAAACAACGGAGCAAATTACCTCTGAATAAAGAATATTTGATTGAAATGTACGAAACAATATATATCGAGTTGTCAGATCACAGCTGATGGTGACATCCAAGTAATCGTGCATACATACTGTGTAATTGCAGTCAATGATACTTTAATAGTTGTACAACAATGTAGAAATTTGAAGAATTTATTATCACAAGTATAGTGCAGCAACACAGAAACATTATGTTAATGATAATTCTATGGCCCCATTGCATGCTGGGAAGCCATTAGACGCTCCCATTCCATGTACTCTGCATGATGTTGACGTTTCCTATAGGTAGGCCTGACAGTTTTAAACTTCAAGATGATTGGTTATTTATTCAGAACTTTGTGTCTATTTATATGTTGATCTTGATTGACAGCTAAGCTGAAGAACTTACTCCATTTATGTTCTTTTCAGTTGCACGGGTCCAACTGTTTCCAACCAGCCAGAGACTTAAAATGTACAGTATTTGTATTCATCCAAAGGGCATTTAAATTCATCTCCTTTCGTCTAATCCCCCTTTATTACTGAAGTAGATTACAATCAGTGGACAATCTGGAAGCAATTAGAGATGATTTTCACCTGGCTTCACCTGCTCGTTAACGTCACGGAACAGCAGGTGGGCCAGAGTTTGTTAAACCAGAAAATGTTGTTGTGCAACATAACAAACATTAGGAAGTAATGGAAACACAGATTTCTGGAAAACAATGATTAGGTACACACAAGCAAGCTGACTACCTAATAATATATTTCATACCTCAATTCTTTACAGCCACGGACAGAAAAAAAAAAGGCTATTTTTGACAAATAATGGACTCCTGGGATTTGCAAACCGAAAAACATGCTAGCTTGTTGTCTGGAATCATGGGATGCGAAACATAATGATACATCTGTTTATCAAATAATGAAAAAATATTTGATGTTTTGGGGAAACAAATTTTTTCATACCCATAATCAGAACAGGAAATGTGTTTTTAATGTAATTTCTCTGCTAGAGAAAATTCCATCAAAAGTGGAAAATAATTACACCATCCAAAGTAGTTTTTGTGTGTTGTGTGTTTTTGGTCTTGAAAGATAGCTAATACACAATATGCTGTGTATGTGCAATGCAAGTAATTCCTGCTCCAATCTATATCTAACTCTGAGACTGTAACTTTAGGATTTGTGTCAAAAGTAGCATCCAGGCATTGATTTTAAAGTTGCTCGATGAAAACCATCATATGTAACATGTATCTTGTGCTCTAACTCTGACCTGCTGTTCCAGATAAGCACTGAGCAAAGAAAAACATGTCTGAGGCTACAAAAGGTGGAGAATGCTGGGAAATTATGCTTAGCTGGAATTCAAATACTTTTAGGACTTTTTCTTTAAGGTTCAGATTTTATTTTATGCCAATCCTGTTCCAACTCTTATAGAATCAGGGTTTCAGTGGTGCCCTTTGAACAAAACGAGCGCATTTCATTTTTAGTATATTTAATTGTTATATTGCAAATACATACCGTGTTGTACTGGCTATTATCCTAGTCAGGGTAAGAGACAAATCAACAATAACCAGGATATGGTCCTGATTTATTATTATACAGTATGGCATTATCTGAAGTTTTATTGTAATGTTGGTACTGTGTCTAGAAGCCCATAAATCTCAGCTCGTCTTTCTCAGATTTTGAAAATGAATCTCCTGTGATTCTTTTGTGCTTTTGCAGAGGAGCAGTGCTTTTATAAGCAGTCAGAGACCCTTTTTCCATAACTGAATATTACAAAAGAATGAATGAAAAACGTTGACTCAGATGGTTAGATAACATTTTTGAATGAATGCATGATGACCCCAAGAGGCATCAGGTGATGATTTGTGCTGTGAGATTTAGTGAGGCATGAAAGCCGGTGCGACTAACAAAGCCTGTTCATCCCTCAGTCTCCTGTGTGTCACTTTGTCGGACAGAGCCCTGAAATGTGTCAGCCCTTTACTTAATACCTGTCGCGGTTATGTCAAACTAGAGCTTTGGTTATTGTGCCACCCGCGTCAATGTGCCTCCGTATCAGTGTGTTGTGTTTGTTTGAGTGTGTCCCCACTCAACCCTTGACTGATGTAGCTGTAGCCTAATTTTAGTTTATGAGGTGAGGGACCGCTGGGTGTTACCCTAGCTGCCATTTTAGACGAGGATGCTGGGAACGGAGTGCCTCGCGGGGGCTCCTATCTATCGTAATTATCTCAACGCCAGGGGTTGGACAGGGGGCTCGGACCTCGCTCGCCTCCTTGAGCTTCCCTCAGCTCCTCACGTGCACACGTCCAGGAGCTCAGGGGCCTGAAGCGGGTGCCGGCATGGCCTTACAGAGCCTCAGCGTGCCGCGCTGCTATTGGACAGATTTCTATGCCACTGAGGAATATGTTATCTAATGCATACTGTCGAGAGTAGCAAGGATCAACATCAGACAAAATTAGATGTGTGATTTGTCCTATCTTGAGTTATTTGAGTCCCCGATCAGAACTGTATAACACATCCCTCCTGTTTTGGTTTATCATTGTTAAATATCTAGGCACGGTGCAGCCTATTTACACCAGCCTTCTCTCTGTGGGCCGTGTTGTTGGCGCCCTGCCTGGCCTCAGTTCTTAATCTCCACAGGAAGTTTGCATCTGTGTTCTCATTCCCCTGACAGGATGTGCGTGTCTGTGTTATGGTCCCCTGGTAGGACACCACAGATGGCGAAGGGCTGGCTCTGACAAAGTTGGCTCCTCATTTGTTCATCACTAGGTGTATTGACCCGGCCCCTGCAGCGCCGTGACATTAAGCAGACTCTGCTTTTAGATCAGGACCCAAAACGACAAAATACAAAACATTATCTTTTTCATATTCAAGTGGGTCTTTTTTAAGAGGAATTGTGTCTTTTATGAAACGTTCACATGGGGATTAGCTCCTATTATCTGCTGTATAATTGTGCAGCACTCCTCATAATGACATCATCTGCATTTGTCATGCCGAGGGGGGGCCGTATCCCACCCAGCTGGTAGCTTTCTGTTGATGCTGTCTCTGATCTGTGTTCCCCACATCAAAAGCAGACATCCCCCGCTGAACTCACCCCCCCTGTCCCCCATCCTCTCCACCCAGACTCTGTCACACACAGCTGTTTCCCTCATGCATCTCTCTCTGCCCACCGAAGCTCTGATGCATCTCTCACCCACTCCTCTCCACCTTTCTGTCTCTCACCTCTTATTACCTCTCAGCGGCTTTAAATCTTACTTCCAGTTCACTGCTTTTATTCTCTCTTGCCTCTCTCATCTGTGACTCTATCTCTTTTTCTTCTCCTCCTCTCTCTAGCACTTACTCTGTTTGTCAATATGTTTTTCTCTTTCTGAGTCACCCCTCCTCTGTACCCCTCAACATTCAGTTTTTCTCTTTATGACTAGCATGGGATTTTACTGCAAGGACTTCAATCTCTGGATACACATTAGAATAACACTTGCGGTGAGAAAACATTAAAATAAATGTCCCCTTCGGTAGAACTTTGAGGTAATTTTAGAGACTACATTATAACCATGGCAATAGTAAAGTGATTTCCTGTATATTAGACAATGTACTGACTATATTAGTTATTATAACAAAGGATTTTTTAGCCCGACACACCTCCCTATCAAAATGAAGTCTCACCTCAGAGTATTCCCATAATGACTAAATACCGGCGGAGCTTTAAGACTATACATAGTGTGTCACGTTCTCTCCTTCTCACTTTTGCCTGACACATTTGAGGCTGACGTAAGGAGAGCCTATATTTGGGTGGTGTCATCTACAATATTACAGCTTCCTGTCAGGAGCACCTCCCCTCTCTGAGCTGGATATCTTTCGTGATGCGACACGTGTGACATGTGTCACATGAATCATGCCCAACTTGCTATAAGTAAACTTAAATTGATGCTCCTTTGGTAAATATGAAGAATGTGTTACTAAATGTCACATTAACAACATTGTGTTTGCCTGTCAGGAGAAAAGCCAAGATAAACATTTCATAAACGTTTTCATAATGTACGGCTCTGCTTGTTGACCATTTTTAGGGTTTGTATTACTTCAATTCTCGATTGCAACTCAGCAATTTCTGCCCTGTTGTTTAGAACATTGCACTGCAATACTGTGAGGCTATATAAGGAATGTGATGAGGTTAGATAAGAGTGGTGCTTTTACAACATCAACAAGTGATGGCAATTATGAGCCAAGATAAATCAGATTTTATGATTGCACTGATGGATTTGTTTATACAAATGTCTAATTATGCATGTGTTCACTGGTCTTTAGCTAGACTAATCGTATCACTTAATTGATCATGACCTTTAAAACGACATTACGTCTTGTAATTATGTACTACATTATGTATAATTATGAAACAACACTGCTCTTTTTCTGTCATCATTTAACGGCTAAGCTCTTTTTTGTATGTGGCCTACTATAGTGTTTTGTCAAAGCAAAACTGCATTTCAGTTGATAACACTTTGTTGCAAGTAAAGTTTGTCATTTTTACCTCAAATATTAACTTATAACATTGCTGTGGATGTAGAGATCAGTTGTGTTGTACAGTATAGGTTTGTGTGCATTTAAATGTCGGCAAAGGTTAAAATCCCAAAGTTCCCTCCAGAGGGAGTTTCTCTCTCTCTGAGTACTGTAGTGCCTCTTTTTGTGCCTAGAAGAAATAAAAAGAAGGATGTTGTGTGGGTTTATCCTGCATGTGTTCTGGTCTTGAAAGCACCTATGGGCTTTGAATCTGATTGTTACATTTGTTTTACTAAATCTTCCTCCTCTCTTTGTGTCTCAGGAATCTGAGCAGCCATGACGAAGTCTTACATTTTCAACTGGCAGAAGCACCTGCCTGAGTTCATGCAGGAAGGTGCCTCCTTCGACAGGTTTGATGAGGTAAGCATGATGCAGTTTGCGGTCGCTACACTTGTGAAAAGAATGTAAAATAAACAGCTTCCTGAACTGAAGCATATTATCCCCCGGTCTGATGTAGTGAAGAAGTGAAATGTCCTGTACGTCTCGTATGAGGCCTGTAATGGGAGGTATACAGTACCAGTTTGTCAATAACCTTGTTGTTGGGGGTTATTTGCTTTTGTCTTATTATCATCCTTCATCCTTGATGACCGTCCCCCGGTCAGTCATTAGCGTGCAAACACAAATACACACGCACACACACACACACACACACACACACACACACACACACACACACACACACACACACACACACACACACACATTGTGGCAAAGGCATCTCTTTATTACCTGAGACATCATTGTGGTGGTCCAGGCTCTGGCTGCAGGCAGGACACATTGATCAGCCTCATTAAGAAGCCTCTGTGTGCAGACTGCTGGTCTGCAACACGTCCCCCGAGGCCCAACCATCTCTCTGAAAATATTATATGTGTTGGATCACAGTGACTGAATATGTTCTATATGTTTATTTAAATTTAATTGAAGTCTAATTAGAATTTAGAAATATAATTTCGACTCATGAGAAACAGCTTTTGAGTACAGGAAGTATTGCTTGCTTCTGGGATTTCTGGGAGTGCTAGCTATGTTACTGTTGTGTAAAATGTGAGCTGTATACCTATAAGCCATGATACAATGACAAAGTGCTTTGCCAAAGATTACAAATCTAAAAGACATAATGAACTATATAAATATAAATCAATCAATCCATGCTAATTTCAAACCTAATAATATAGAATTATTTCTCAAACTTGCCTCTTTAGCCAATACCATCCATCCATCCCTGTCATATATTGATTACTTATATAATTAATAATGATAATAATCATTTATTCTTTCATTATGAATTTCATTTGATTAAGTAATACATCAATCATTCATTGTCTTTCATAATCGGAAATGTGCCTTGTCAACGCATATCCAATGTCATGCCAATAAAGGCTATTGAATTTAATTGAATTATAAAAAGGTTTAGACAAATCTTTACCATTAGTAACATAACATTAGTCTCAGCAATTACCCATCATGCTCTCTGTGTCTGTGTGTATACGACACTGTGTATATCTTCCTGTCTTATTGCCCACGTTTCCTCTGACTAACTTAATCAGGACACTAAGCTAGGACATTTGCCGAGCAAAGGCAAATTGTGTCACACACACACACACACACACACACACACACACACACACACACACACACACACACACACACACACACACACACACACACACACACACACACACACACACACACGTCTTGTCACGATTATCTTTGGCCAAAAATGTAGATATTGTCAAGATAATATGCCTAGAACATTAAAATGGCAAAACGAAATACTGGAATCAGATTACCTTACATGTTGTCAAGAAAAAAAATATTGCTAATCCTTCAAGCAATCTTAAATAAAGAAATCATAAGATTCATGTAAAAAAAAAAAGTGTAAGTGTTTCTTCCCATACTTCTCTACCATTATAGCGAGTTGGACAGCTTTTTCAAGTCACTTCCGCTAATCAAAACCAACTACAGTGAACTTATTGTGAGTTTATTTCTTTATTGAGTTCTATATCGTCCCGTTTGTAGTTCAAAAACAGCGCCTGATTAGCATGCATTACACTCCAGTGCCGTGCTCTCTGTGAACAGAGAGGAGAGGGGATTCCCTCAGCACCAGTCAATATCTGCACTGCATCCCCCCATGAACTCTTCCAGAGAATTTCCTCTCGCTAACACACGCACACACAAATACACACATACTGCAGCTACATCAATGCTACGGTGCTGCTCAGCAGAACAGCTGTCTTCCTGTTTAATATCCTGCATGTTTGTTTTAATGGCCGCATATCGCTCTCTATATTGTATTTGATGTGCTAATGTGATGTTGTAGGAGGGAGAGCAGGTGGCACAATATGGCCCCTTTAAACATATCTGTGTGCTCTAACAGCATGTTCATATTTGCTTTAACATTTAAAAGCGTGCCAAGAGAGTGCGTGACACAGAGGAGGAATGTTTTCATTGCCGATAAATAAGTTCATCACTGTAACTCACTGAGGAGCCGAGGTGACTGACGGAGTGACTACTCGCTTCCTCGCATTTGATCATCTTCTTGCATATGCTGATATACTTCTGCTGCTGCATTACGGTGCTAATTATGTCGTTTTATCGTGGATAACCCACAATTATTCCTTGAATTCCACTCTCCTGTACACTTACACACACGCATAGTGGTCAGGTTGTAGGGCCAGGCTCCATAACAAGCAGACAAAGTCAACTGCTGCCTTTTCTTACACATAAATCTATGCCTCAATACCTGTAGGTGACAACAGGAAATGGCTGATACGGATATAAAAATAGAGTCTAGTCATCATTCTCCAGATAAGATTCTCTGAAATACTTTGTAAGGCAAAAATACATACAGTACATGACACCATTTTTGAAAGCAGGGCGCTAAAAACTAATCACAAGTAAATGTTCAAAGCACTGAGAACATACATGCCAGTATTAAAAGTAAAATATTACAGTGGCGTCTGCTTTTGAAAGGATCTTAGTCCCTACTCTCTACACTGCTTTTTGTGCAATCTGACAAAATTCTTTGTATGTAAACTATTGATAGAAAATCAATAAAAAATGTTCAGAATCAATATAGTATCACAGAACATAATATTGTAAGCCTGAAGTGTATCAATACTTTCTTACAGTCCCCTATTCTATTACTTTGACAGCCTCTCAGGTCGAGTTCTCGCTGCCAGATCTCTGGTTTCATAGATTTCATATTTGATAGAGGCTCAACAACGATTACGATTTCAGTTTTTTAACCTGCCGACACAGATTTTTACAATTTATCTATTTGTCTGAGAACTACCTAGAATAAACAGCATACTTTAAAATGTGTGTAACATTTATTTAATGGGAAACCTAAATCCACTCCTGTTTAAAGATAACTTTGCTAACTCCTTAAAATGTGACACGTTTACAGGGGGGTGGTCTCCTAAGTGTCTGATTAGGTACGTTTTACCAAATTGTTTTTCATCACAACTTATCTTGGACTTGCACTTTAAAAAAGCATGTTTTATGTTGCCCTTGTTTGCGATGTGTGCGTGCGCGTGCGTGCGTGCGTGCGTGTGTGTGTGTGTGTTATAGAGAGTGAGACAGACAGGCAGGCAGACACAGTAGAGGTATAAAGAAATGTATAAAGCGTGAGACCCGCAGATGAAAAGCTTCGTCCTTTCTATTATTTTCATGAGAGGCTTGCATTGAGATGCAGGACAACACCAGCAGGGAGATAGCATCTCTTTATCACAGGACAGGATAAAAAGTGGACATTAGAAAAAGTAGGGGAGAGGATAATTGGCCAGAGGGAGAGGGCAGAGATGCAGGTCTCCCTTGAAAAAGAGATCTATGATCTCAATGGGACCAATCTGGTTAAATAAAGGTTTGAAATGAAATGAAATGAAGTGCAATGATAAGGACAGACTTTTTTTGCCAGGCGGCCAATTAATAGCACTTAGGGAAGGCAAAACCTATTCTTTCTGATTGTCTTATGATAAACCTTGTGCCGGTAGCTCTCCTTCCAAAGATTCTCTCGGGGATATATTAGAATGTAATCCTTGTGATCTGCCAAGATATGAACAATCTTTATCAAAGCTTTGCATTGGCTAAAATCTTACCCCCTAAAAACTATATTACATTTATACAAATGTTGTACTCTTTTAGGCATCAGATCAGTGGGATCATACTTCCTCGAATATTGTACGTAATCTGAGCAAAATTAATAATCATTTGCCTAGATATCAGTGAACCAGAACAGAAGATGAGTAAACTATAGTTGGGTTGATCTCAGGTTTTGATTTCCAGTTTGATATGCAAGCTTGAACCAGTTTGATTTATGTGCAAACCTGCTGAATTCCCATTTGAGATAATGACACATTCTGGTCAAATAAAATAAAACTTACATGCCAACATGCCAACGGAGAGTTCAGTTTTTAGAGCTGGCGGTCCAGTGTCTTCTGCCAAGTACAAGCCTGTGAAAAGAAATTCAAGCAATGTCATGGCTGTCATGGCTGTGATGCCTGGCATGGCTGGCATGGCTGGCATGGCGCTGAAACCAGCTTGAATTGCATTAGTTATAAGCAATAAGACAACATATTTAAAGTATTTTATGTTTTTCAGGCAATATTTAAGAGATCACTTATGCTGTATATTCACAAGTATAACAGGGAGTGGGTGGGGAGGTGCTGAACAGTGAATCATCAGTTTGTTTACTAGGAGGTTGAGGTGTCTTTGGGGTAATAAGAAAACTAAAGCCCCGGACTGATGCATCTGTGCCTGCTACATTCTTGGATGATCACATCAAAAACAGACAAGCCATCGACTTGAGTAAATTGCAGGAAGAAAGTCATGGACGACACTTAGTGGTACATTTGGGTATAGGTCCGATATTTGGCTAAAGGCTTTTTCATACTATTTGCATCTGAGTGTCCATGAGGGTCTGCTATAGTCCTTGTGATACACATTATTCACCACATCAGTGAGGGGTGTGGATCGGTAATATGCATGTTTAAAACACCATACCCTCGCAGAGGCAAAACTGCAGTATGCACGTGACTTTGGCTGTAAGCGACAGTGAAATACAGAACATTTATACAAGCCTTTCATTGCAAACAGGCAAATACAGACTGTATAGAATGAATTGAGAATATATGCTGTCATTGTCACAACAAAAAATGATACGACAATAATCAAGTGTATCAATATTTACTTTACACCATGTGATGGTGAAAATGCTGATTAGGTTTGCAAAGGGGCGGAAACTTTCCGGTAAATTTCCGGGAAGTTTCCGGAAAGTTTTCATGGGAAAATAAAGTGGGGAATTTTGGAAATCGTCATCCCCCCAACCCCAGTCATTAAAAAATTAACAAAAATGCA